TCACCAAAGCCCCTTAGCCAGGCCATTTCAGGCTGCCCTTCATGGCTGCCATAATAGTCCTATGGCACCAGGCTACGCCATAATTTAGCAATCTTAGCAATCTCTTACTTTATCCTGTTACCACCTCTCACAAGGACATGGGATTTTGAGGACTTTGAGATTTTTAATATGTAATGTTGCCAAATTAATTTAGAGTAGAATGTCTAACTCCTCAGCATCAGAGTGTGTTACTATAAGGCAACTGGCAGTTGGAACAGAGTTCTTTTCAGCTGGGGAGGGGGGAGTAGAACTCCTTAGCATCAGAGTGTGTTAATAATTGTATAAGAAATACTAATGATCTGATGGTCATTTTGAAAACTCCTTTCTTAACAAGCATCTAGAAGCCAAGAGGAACATACGTGCCAAATTTCAAATTTTGTAGACTTTATAATTCTGGAGATTTCATGATGAATGAGTGGTACTTGGCTTTTATATATATATAGATAAACGATCTTTTGGATTTTACAGGTTCTACCTATTCACTGAAATGCGCCAGATTACAATTAGGATTATACCACTGTATAAATTTTGAATTATTTTAGTATTTTGTAAATTACTTACATTAATACAGCATTGCTTTGAAGTTTCTGTCTGAGCCACACAAATTCTCGAAAACGGCGTCGGACACAAGATGTTTTTCTTGTAAAACACATGCTATTTGTCTGCAGAAACACAGAATGCGTTTGGTACATTAGTTGAGTTTAGTGACACAGTATTTTCCCAGAACCAATAATCTGACAATGCAAGATTTTGACTAACTAGACTGGCAGTAAATTTCCACTGACCTTTCTTTCTTGTTCCATCTCTATCTATCCCTCTGCCAGTGAGAAAATTCTTACATTTGACAAAGGATAACTCTCGATTCCTCCACCCACCCACCCCAAAAAAAAATTATTAGCAAAAATGTTAAAATATTCAGTATAAATATTCAGCACACAAAATTCTCCAGCTTTTCCATGGCACTAAATCTAATCTCCCCCATGCCCTAAGGCATTTTGTGCTTTGCTTCTTGCTACCTACTTTGCCTTCACCACACTCAGGCCAGCCACTCACTTTTGCCATTAACACCACTGCCTTTGACCTCAAGCATTGAAAAACAGCAGAGAGTGGAACTGGCAAAAGTAAGCGGCTGGCCTGAATGCACATTTAGGATTTGCAAGGTTTTGTTACTAAAGCAGGATATTCCTGCAAAGTTGTTGACTTCAGTGTGAAGAGTTATAAAAAGGAAGAAAATAATTCAAGTCAGGAAAAAAAGAAACAAAAACAGAGGAATCATTCAATAATAATTTATGAAACTTGTATGAAACTAAACTCTGGGCAGTTCACAAAAATCAAACAAGAAATCACAATGAAATCAATCAAATAAAAAAACACTAATCCCCGTAATATTTTAAACCAAAGATGCATTTATGATTCTATCCTTGAAAAATAGGAACAGCTTTTTTATATGCTGGCCAGGAATTATTTGAGTAGCAATTTAAATTAGGAAAGCTATTGTTTTGTCCTCTACTGTCCTAAAGGTTCAACTTCCATTCATTTTCTAAGACAGCCTTCCCTATCCTGTAGACTTTAAGAAAAGTATAGATCATATTTCAAAATTCTTACATTCCACAATTGGGATGGGTAGTGAATCGTTCATGACCACCCTCCACATAGCTTATCACATATATAGTTCAAATATTAGAAATGCCTTAAAAACCATTTTCACAGAAGAGCATAACTACTTACATGAATGAAGATTTCATAATCTATATAGGAATGCCAAAAATCTTCCTTCTGTAACCTGGGATCTCGCACCAATACTGTTACAAATTCCTGCAAGAGCATAATAAAGCAATTACTGGATAAAGAGTCTTAACAAAGTTCTCCTCTCCACTGACTAAAAATATTTTTGTCACTGTAAGTTATACGTATTAGTAATCATTCTGAAAGAGGAAAAACAACATTCAGACAAATGTTACACCAATCAACTACTTTGAAAGCAATGACTCATCTCTTGTCAACTAGCCAAGGGGGAAATTCTAAGTTAGATAATGCTGTGTATTTCCAACCAGGAAATGTATTTTTTTACAAATAAAGGTTTTGTATTTTTCAGTTAGTCTCCTTCAGGCAATATTATTGCTGAAAAAATGGAAACAAATGTCATTATTTCTTTACAGGTAACTTGTCATAATATCCAGAAATACTAAATACCTTTGCTGATGTTGAAAAACAATGTTTAAACTATTGATTAAAAAGGTACTGGTATTTGTTTAAAGGTTCAGTTCCAAAGTCCTAAGTTTAAGTCTTATGTATTAATTGTTTAATGTATAGCACATTGCAGTATAAGCAAGAAATGAAGAGCACAGAAAAAAATTACTGTCGGCACAAAGTCTAATGCGCACTTGGAATAAATCCAGTACATGCCATCAAGTGGTGAGCCACAGTGCAAACCCAAATAGGAGAATGTGCATGTATCACTAATTGGTATCCCAGCCAAGGTAGATTCTATAGCCTTGCACCTTTGGGTCTTTCATTTAAGCAGTCTTTCCTGTCCCTCCAGGTATTAGTGGACAGGTTGAAGGAATGAAGCAGTCTAACCAGGATCCCAAAGAGAAGTAGACCTCTCAAGAGGGAAGGGGAAGCAACAATGGGAAAAATGTCAGTTAGTTACAAAACATGTTGACAATTCAGCAGTTTTCTTCCTGAAATCATTCATTATTTGCTACTCAATTCCTTCAAGCTCTGTAGTAAATTGTTGTTTTTTTCCATTGTATTCAATCACGCCTGAATCTCAGAGACAGTGGACAGGTTCCTACAGTTTTCTTGGCAAAATTTTTCACAAGTGGTTTGCCAATGTCATCTTCCAATGGCTGACATTGGAAGGCCCAGGTTCACCTAGCTGGCTTCATACTGCCTTGATGTCTTAACCACTGTACCAAATTAGTTCTCTAAGAAACTGTTAGGTAAGACTAATGCTAATAGAAGGAAAACAAGAAGTCAAAATAAATTTAGTCTTAAGATTTATACAATATACATTTAAAGATTGGACACTATTCTTAATTAGACATTTTAATTTTACAGGTATTCCTCGACCTATGGCTGTAATGGAGCTCCTCCTATACTGACTGAAGTCAGAGGGTTGTTAAGTGAAGCACCCATGTGATTGTCTCACTTATCGCCATCTCTGCTCTCCCCAACACAGTCATTAAACAAATGCATGGGTTGTTAAGCAGGCAAGAGAGGCATGGGCCCAAGGGGAAGCAATGGGTGTCCTTGTGTCTTCCCAAGGGGAAACAATCAGCTTCTGTCTTGAGTCTCTTAAGGTATCCTCCATGACTAATGCATTTCATGCTCTGCTTTTCACCCCCCACATTGTCTTCACCACACTCAAGCCAGCCACTCCCTTTTGCCATTTCCACCACTCCCTTTGCCTTTCAAGTACCGGGAGAATAGCAACAAGTGGACCTGGCAAAGATAAGCGGCTGACTTGAATACACATTCATATTTGCAAGATTTTATAATAATAATAGTAGTATTATGTACCTGGTATTGATTTTTGAATCTGGTTTACCATGAAAGGAAGACTGGGTTACCATGAAAGGAATCTGGGTTACAAAGAAGACTGGGTTACCATGAAAGGAATCTGGGTTACAAAGATTCCCAAATGAGAGAAAGTCTCAATAAACTTCATGCATATATTAACTGCACTAAGCATAATACCCAAGAAATATCATCCCTGTTCCGATTCATAATCAAATCTTTGTAATGTTCATGGTTCTCAAGCTCTGAACATTATAATACCCATTCAGTGGATAGACCATTTAGTTTTAGATATTACTGTATTGTTGTAAAGGAAGGGAGGGGTGCTTATGTGTGTGTATAAATATCTAGCAAAGTTATTTAAGATTAAAAACACACTGATACAAATAGAAGCTATGTTTGCTAAAGGGAAAATAGCTAAGAAAAATAATAGCAACAGGGCAAAAACACTATAATTGTTCACCTACAAGAAAAACATTTCTGTATAACCTACCAGGATCCTGTGGGAAATTAAAATGAGAGCCTTGACTTAGTTGACTAGTATCATCCCTGCTGCCAAGTAAAATTGTCAGGGTCCTCTGATGGAAACAAGAGACATTTTGTCCAGAACCTCTCTAATCTCTATATTCACAATTAGGTCAGAAATTTCAGTTGGGAAAAACTTACTTCAAGAAAGTTTAATATTTTAAAGAAATATACATGCCAGAGGTTCTCTAGCTTTTCTTTGCTTTCAAACCTTAAGAAACAGAAAGTGACAGTGAAATTTCCTCTGGTTGCAACTGTACTTTCAAATGCCATACATGTGTGGCTTCGTGCATTTCATATTCAGTGAAAAGGGCTTTTTGCCATTTCTTCAGAGTAGCAGTTACACAATCTTCTTTATGTCCTAAGATGCTACAAAAATATCTGAAAAGGGGAAATTGAGTTGCACAGTTCATTCATAGCAGTTGGTTGTACTTCCACTTTCACTGAGGCAAAAACCAGTTTAGTGCTGTATTTTTAAAATGTTAACACTGCAGTGCTTACCTGTTTTTCATGCTTTGGGGTCATCTTCAAAGCCGTATCTAAATCTATCTAAAACATAAAAAGTAATAAATCCTGGTTAAATACAACTGAAGGAATTGGATCACTTTTTAAATGCTTTCAATTTTCTTGGCTTGATTTTGGAAGTAGTTTGCCATTGGCTGCTTCTTGGAGCTGAGAAAGATTGACTGGCACAAGGTCACCAAGCTGGCTTTGTGCCTAAAGTGGAACAAGAACTCGGGGTTTACTTATTTGTAGTCTGGTGTTCTAGCTACTATATCAAACTAATATACTACCATTGAAAAGGGTACTTTAATTTGCCAATTCCGTATTCTGGAATAGGCAGAAGTGAAATGGAAAGACACACGGTTGAATCCCATGCTGTCATGAAGCTTCCTCTAAATGGCCTTGGCCCAGTGATCTTTTTTCCTACTTCATATGGTTATTGTAAAGATGAACACACTGCCCAAAACATTTTGGTGAAAAATATAACAAAAAATAAATAAAAAACACCATTACTCCTGGGCTGGGTTATTAGATATTTAAAATATATCCCTGCCACAAAGCATGCAATGCACACCTGGGCAGTGTACAATTAAAAAAAATCAATAAAACATGTAAACAATAGAATAAACATACAAATAATATGACATTTTCTGAAAGTAGCTCAAACATACTATTATGAACTCTTAAATGCCAAGGGGAATATGTGTGTCTGTGTGTGTGTGTGTGTGTATGTGTGTATATGTATGTGTGTGTATATACACACATATCTTAATTTTTCGCGGGTACTTACATGTATGGCATTCAGCTTTGTTCGGGTATTTTCCCACGTCATTATAGTTGTGCTTTTAAAGTTGTAACAACGTTTCGGCAGAATCGCATCTGCCATCATCAGGCTCACAGACGAACACAATACAGAAGCCTGATGATGGCAGATGTGATTCTGCCGAAACGTTGCTACAACTTTAAAAGCACAACTATAATGACGTGGGAAAATACCCGAACAAAGCTGAATACCATACATGTAAGTACCCACGAAAACTTAAGAAAACACATATACTGTATATATTAGCATACATCTAATTGTACAAAAACTGCTGTTTAGTTCATAAGCAGAGAAAAATATATTAAAAAGGCAGACTTTAAATGAATATGATACTTTTGTGGCCCTTATTCAAAAATGAGATTCCCCTTCTCTTTTTTGCAATCAAAAAATATAGTGTACAGCCAAGTCTCTTTCAGAGAAAACAGGAATGGAGTTTCCCTTAACATTTCCCTTTCTTTGCACTGGGAAAAGTCAGGGAACACAGATAAAAACACCCAAACCACATGCTTAAATGGTTTTCTTGAGATATGAGGCTGAATTATGCACACTAGTTTGTCTCCAAATCGTGATGGGAGATAATAACATCAAACTGAATCAAAAATTACATTAACCACGGGCAATAAAAAGGAAAGAGATATGCCATGCCACTGTCTTAGTGCAATCGAAGAGCTCTTCCCTTGAATAAAAGACAACAAATGTGGGTTACCCAACATTATTGAACACCAGAAAATATAGGTATGTTTATTATTTCATTGGCCCAAATTTTTGTCCAAACTTCACTTCATGCTTCAATTAAACCACATACAGGCTGAGGAATTCTGGGAGTAAAGTCCACACATCTTAAAATTGTTCATGTTTGTGAAACACTGTTCCAGAATGCCCTTTAAGCAGTTGTTGCTCCCTTATCTATGGTGAAGAAGCTATGGAACCTTCCAAGCCATTTTGTAATGAACTATATTAACCCTGTAACTACTCAAAACAGCTTCAAAATGCTACAGTGAACATAAGACACCTGCTGTCTTCACAAGCCGAACATGTATCTCCGAGACATTATATATATTTTTATATGTCCTAACCAAGTACCATCTCAGTACTAATCAGATCTGAGTGATTTTAAGCTTTCTGAAGATTGCCAAAAAATAACTATAACAAATACTGACTTGCTGTTTTTCAATGGCACTTTCTATCTAGGTAGACTGATCCCTAGCCTGTCTATCAGAATGGTTCTTCCAGACTGGCTATTTTTATAGCCCTCCTGAAAATGCCAGTGTTCAGACATAGGATCTTGTACATGGAAAGTACATTCTGACCACGTTTTCTACACTTAGTGAAAGAAAGCAAGAGCTTTTTGCAAATGCAGCTTAATTATGTTTGCTTAGTCCTTAGTGCTGAAAGGATTAAAAACACATCCAGCCAGTTTTCAGCTGAGTGCAGAAGTAAACAAAATGTTCAGGAACTGGACTAAGAACATAAGCAAGCAGAGTTTTAAAATAAAACACAGGTACTAGAACAAGAAATGCTTTATGAACATAAAGCAAAATTACTAATGCCATTGTACATGAAGTTTCCAGCAGGCTGGTACAATGATGATTATGAGACATGAGCCTGGTGGACTTATTCATCATATCTTGTGACACACTAAGTATTTACCATGAGTACTGCACAAGGTAACTTGGAAAATTGTTGCCCCTCCAAAATCTTCTGATATCTTATCCATTTTGTGACAGCTCTCCAACCAGTATTTATTACTTTGTTCCATTGGGGTGGGGTGGGGGAAGAGAAAAGTAATTGCATGATGGTCAAAGTAGGTTCTCTTATTATCTCAAATAGGTTATAGAAAGCATATTTTACCTAGAGCTTGTTTGGTTCTATACAGCAGTGGTCCCTGTTTGGCACCAGGGACCAGTTTCCTGGAAGACAAATTTTTCCATGGACCAGGGAGAGGAGAGTTTTAATTTCACTCGCTTGCCTGCCATTCATCTCCAGCTGTGTGGCCCAGTTCCTAACAGGCCATGGACCATGGCCTGGACCCATAAAGGAATTCGCACTTATACCCATGAGATGGAAAACTGAACTTGCAACACAGCAGCTCAAGCTAGTCTTAATTTTGGTTCACATATCATGGCAAAAACATGGCCAGAACAGAAAAAGCCCAAAACAATCCATGGTTTTCATGCTGTGGTTAACTTTGTCTTTATTTACCATCTTAACATGACTTCCCAATTCTCATGTAATGCTAATGTTCAACCATAACAGATTTCATGAACAGTAGCTATGTGATTGATAATAATTTAATGCTGAATAGTAAAATTAGCTTTAAATTGGGTTAGACAACTACTGTATCTCTATATACTCAGCATGACTTCCTGACCGTATTTCTTTTTCCCCAAAGTGGAGAAACTGCCTAAACATATCTTTCTGAGCTGCTTTTCTTCACCTCAGATCTGATTCCTAAAAAGAGTCCACTACAAGTTAACAAACTCAGCTATTAACCTGAACTTGTTAATTAGAAGGTTTGGTCCATTCACAGCTACTATGTGAAACTGAAAGGGCCCTAATCAGTTTCATCTTACAGGCTTTTATTTGCACATTCCTTCAATGCGCAGTCCCCATTGTGTACTTTCTTACTTCTTGCAATATCCACCTCTCCAATGTGTCTAAATATAAACATTAATTTCCATTTGATAATTATCCAAACATTGGGGTTAGAATTTCGAAGGGCAGGAAAGAAAGTGTGAGTGTGTGGGAGATGCTATAAGAGTTACCTTTCCCCCAACTTCTTGTGACTATTTCAAAAACCTTTCCCAGTTTTGGGCTCACCCTACTGTTTGGGGTTCACTCAGTTGACAGGAATCATATTTTTCTGGTACTGTAAATATAGATAAACCTTGACTTACAACCATTTGTTTAGCAACCATTCAAAGTTACAGTAGCACTGAAAAACAGTAGTACAGTAGTACACTGTACAACACAACACTTACAGCTAATCTTTGTACTGACTTCATCAGTGCTCCTATAGTCACATGATCTAATTTGGGCACTTGGCAATAATTGCACATTTACAATGATTGTGACATCCCACATCACAGGATTGCCATTTGTGATCTTCCTAGCTAGCAAACAAAGTCAACAAGATAAGCCAGCATGGAAGGTCACAAATTGCAGTCACCCAACATCTTGCTTAATGACTGGCTGCTTAAAGACAACTGTCCCAGTCTCTATTATGATCATGACATCAATCATGACTAGCACAGACTAGCAATAGCACTTCGACTTATATACCACTTTACAGTGCTTTACAGCCCTCTCTAAGCAGCTTACAGAGACAGCCTATTGCCCCCAACAATATGCCTCCTCATTTTGCCGACCTTGGAGGGCTGGAAAGCTGAGTCGACCTTGAGCCTGATGAGATTCAAACTGCCAAACTGCTGGCAGTTAGCAGAATTAGCCTGCAATACTGCATTCTACCCACTGTGCCACGGCTCTACCTGTATATTTAAGGGAAAATTCTTAATAAACTTTTTAAAAGGTTTATTACCATCCTGGCATCTTCTTTTAGTGTTTTTGTTCTTTGGTATCCATCCTAAATCTAAATTAAGCATCCACACACAGATGAACGGCAACCGCTGTGAAACCTCTTTCTAGTGCAGTGTGTCTATGTGGAAACCTAGGGAACTCAATTTAGAATAAAAGTACTAAGCACTGCAAGCCTTGTAAAATTCTACTAGATAGAAACAATTTTATCTGAAGTTTTTCATAGGATATTCTTCTACCTCTGCAAAAAATGGGCACAAGCAAAAGTATGGAGGATGCCAGCTACAGTTCTCTCAGAATAGAGAACAACAGGATGTGAAAACTATATTTGATACTGCATAGATAGAAGATCATGGAAATAGTTGACATTGGTCTTGTGACAGAAAAACAGTATAATAAAATAGTCACATTTCTCTTAATCACAAAACTAACCAGGAAATTGATGTGGGCCAAATAATATCTCTTAAAAATTTTTAAAGCCTTGGTGCACAATGGTTAGAATGTAGTACTGCAAATTACTTCTGCTGACTGCCGGCTACCTGCAATTTGGCAGTTCAAATCACACCAGGCTCAAGATTGACTCAGCCTTCCATCCTTCCGAGGTGAGTAAAATGAGGACCCAGATTGTTGGGGGCAATATGCTGACTCTGCAAACCGCTTAGAGAGGGCTGTAAAGCACTGTGAAGCA